CATTAAATATCTTGTCTTTGTAGTGTATTCAATTGAATATAGGTTGAAAGGGGATTTGCAAATCATTGTATTCTGTTTTTTATTTACATTTTACACAATGTCCCAACTTCATTGGAATTGGGGTTGTAATATATTGAATAATAACCCCTGTATTGTGATACGTATTGCAGATATTCCAGATTATTGCCAATACACAGCCCTAGTGATGCTTGGGTAAACTATCAAACAGTTTGACTGGGTGATTAAACCATTCCACTCTGATGCAATCTCTGTGGACCTGCCAATCAGTACCATCTGAGCTGCCATGCGATCAGGAGTTTTAGACTAGACTAAGGTTGGATTGCCCAAAGGTAAAACTGTATGCTTTAAATGATGAGATAGATAATGTGAGATGCATACCCTCGACTATAACCAGGACTTCAGGCTTACAGTACAGTGAATTAACATCAGTATCAATACATTTTGCTTAAGTAGCTTATCCTTTATTGTAGACTTAAATGCGCTTTCATAAGTCTTTATTCAAACCCCTGCCTGCCATTAAAACTATCGTTTAGCAAAGAAATGTCTATTTTAGACAGCTAGCACACGAACATATTCAGACCTAAAATTAGGGTTTAGAGCCAGAAAACACTAGGAATGTCTGCATATACAGTGGGAAGCAACTTAGGTCACTGTTGCAGAGAATATGTCCCAATTCCTGTTCCTGGAATAATTAAATTCTAACATCTTTGTCTGTCTTACAGGATGCTCTCCTGCTTTGCTTCAAGCCTCAAGCTATAAAGTCTCCAATAGGCATGCAGCTAAAACAGCTCATTACCAGTTCTGCAAGGTAGACTAATAATATAGCATGTGTTTTAAAAGGACATGCATAGCCACTAGCTGTAGCTGGACATAAAACATGAAAAGGCAACATGTCATCACTCCCAACTGGTCAAAATCGGCAGCTTCGTTACCGCTTCAAAATATGTTAAGTCGATCCTTTAGCGTAATCTCTGGATGTGCAGAGCTCAGTTGACAAGTTTGCAAGAATAAATATGCCATGTCGAGGAGTTAATGTTGTGAAACTGTCACTGTTTGTTTAAGTTTAGACACAAAACCTACTTGGTTAGGTTTAGGAAATAATCATACTTAAGTGAGCATAACTTAAGTAAAAAAGTCAGCTAGGACACATAGGCCAACCAGTGAAGTAACGTTAAGCACTGTGAACAACAAAAAGACAACAGAGGAAACATAACAACAGTTATAAAGCTAGACCAAAGCAATGAAGACATAAAAAATAAAACAAAGGGGAAAGAGCAAAGAGATCTGAGATCAGTGTAAGAGCCCAGAGCCAATAAACATTTGGTCTGATGACCTAAGAGACTGGGAGATGTGGTGTGTCCAGCATAAAGTAACTTGTAAACATACAATAAAACCTACATGGCTGATCTCTGACAGTCAAGGGATACCAGGAAAAGAAAAAATTCTCTCTATTAGCTCAGGAGCCCAGGAACTATTTCAGAAACTCAGGTACCATAAGCTTTTCAATCATAGGAGCCACAGTTTAAATTTAGTTTTTTAGCCATAGGTCCTGGTGCCAAAAAGTCCCTACTATGTACTATGTGCTATGTACTATGTAACAATAGATTTCTTGTACTGTTTATTCACATTAAAGTTGTGTTGTTCCTGACTAATCGTAATTTTTTTATCTGTTATTGGACTATAGGGTTTCTGTAGGTTTAACAGGTTCATTTAAGAAATTTTAGTTCCTGTTTTTTTTTTTTTTTTACATGCGAACATATATTGAGTAGTCTATAATATTCACATGGAGGTGCTTTTCATACGAAATACCATCAAGGGCAACATGAACAAACACAATTATATCTGAGGGAATAGAAGAGAGAGAATTAACAAATAGAAACAAGGTTAATGCTTTTTACATAGCTGTCTACTTTAGCTAACAAAAAACTGACCTGTGGAACCTTTGGCATGCATGTGAATGATACACTGTGATTGAAGATGAGAGGTTAGACCAAAGGAACCTTGTAAATGCACATTTTTAAAAGTGGTGAGGAACAAAATGTGTGTCTGTGACAGACTTGTGAAAAAAGGGAGGGGAGGTGGGTTTTTGCTGTTGCTGCTTCACATGCTGGTAAATAACAGCTGCTATATAATATATTCCCATTTACAAACAACTGATACCGTACTAACTTTCTCCTGTTAGTCTACATAATTATTGTATTATTAGGTGTCAATGTGGGTCAGTGAAATAGTTTAATTTAAAGCTGATTGCTCATTTTACAACTTTTTAAGCAATGTTACAGATGCAAACACCAATAAGCACACATTACTATAATGTTAAAGGGTAACTTTGTTTTTTTTTTTAACCTGGACCTTATTTTC